TCTTTTTTTTACTTCTCTTCTTTTCTTCTTTTATTTCTTGCATTTGTATTTTTTATTATCTACCCTTATACCTCTGTGTTTTTTTTTATATAAGTTTTTTTTGTTTTTGTTTACTTTTTTATAAGAAGTTGTTATCAGATTGGCAATATTCTATTGTAGAATGGTAGTCAGATGCAGCCTCTGATATAATCTAATTTCTTTTAAAGTTAGACAGTCAGTTTAAGCAGATCACTCATAAGGACTTATAGAAGCATCTGCAGAATGTTAGGTCAAAATTTATAAACTAATTTGTATGTATATAATACAAAAATACATAAAAAGATAACTAGCAAGACTGCTCAAGTGAAGAAAAAAATAAAATAAATAAAATTAGCAAATAAATATAAGGTAGTTAAAAAAAAGTATAAAAATAATGTTTAGTTAAAAGCAATTAAGATTAAAGAGCTAAAAAATAATTTACAAAATACTCTTAACAGAATTTTAAAATAATTAAATAAAATAAAAAAAAAGACAATTAGAAAATATACTTCTAAATCACTTTTAAAAGTTGTAAATATTTTTTAAAAAAAGACAACTACTTTGTTAAATATAAAGGTAAAAAGCTATGATAATAAACCAAATCTAAATAAAAACAAATATATAAAGGTAATAACAGTATATTAAGTATTAAAATAGTATATTATAATATAAATAAAATAAAGAACAATAAGATCAAACTAAAAATAATAGTCAAGTAATAACATATTTTTTAATAGAATAGTAGTAGTTATTTTTTTTTGATACAACAAATTAAAACTAAACATTTAGGATAGGTATAATAGTAAACATCAGATATAGGAGATGAAAAAACACTGTCAATAAAAGAAAAGAGATTAGTTATAAGTTGTTAAATAGATTTATTAGATCTTATTAAATTGCTATTAATATGAATTATAGAAAATTCAGTAGGTCTAATATAATTTGTATTAGAAATTAAAATAAATTTAGTGTGATATTTGGCACAAAAACAAGTAATATAGAGATAAATATAGAAGCTTAGAAGAAATAAGTAATTTTATATAATTTAAAATTTTTTGTTAAACAAGAAATTGGTTAGACTTTGGAAGAAATAGAACAAAAATTATTATTATATTTTTTTTTATAAAGAATAATTTTAAAACTGTTAGAAAGTTTTGGTAAAAGTAATTAAAATCTGCAATATTAAGCTCTTGGTAATTAAGAATAAATATTTTTAGATATAAACAAGTTTAATAAATATTGTATTAAAAATTTAAAAAAATTTTTTTTCAAAAAAAAAGAAAATATTATTGTAAGTAATTAATATTACAGAGATAGTAACTAAGAACAAGAGTAATAATATTGAAATATAAATTAAGAAGTACAGAAGAGTACTAAAATGCAACTAAAATAGGCAAGATTACTATTATAATTCAGATAATAAATACAAATAGAATTTGAAGTACAGATTGCTATATAATATTATTATAAACCAAATATAGAAATTAGTAATTTGTATTAAATGAATTTTTATTAATAGATAGATTATAAATTTTTGTATAAATTAATAAAATATAAATTGAAAAATGATAATATAGTTATATAAAAAATATATAAAAGAAAAAGAAGGTAAAGTAAAAATAAAAAGTAGAAAAAAAGTTTTATAAGAAAAAAAAAGATGAATTTAACTTTAGTTCAACTAATATTAGATTAAAATTCTTTATTTAGAACTTGTTTTGACTAAACAAATATATACTACAACTTTACTTAAAGGTATAAGACAGGTTATTGTAATAAAAACTACAAAAAAGTTAAATTATTAAAGTTAAAAGTCAAAGACTGTCAGTACAGTTTTCTTAATAAGTTTAAGAGATATAAATATAATATTTACAAATATATATAAAATACTGAACTGAATAAGTATACTTAAAATATTAAAACAGAATGTCTTAGTAAAATAAATAGTTATTAGTATTTTGATGAATAATATTTTAGTTAATTTTTGTATAATAGATTTGCAAAAAAAGTTCTTTTATAGTTAAAAAAATATTAATTATATTAAAATTTATATAAATATAATAAAAATTTTTTATAAAAAAAAATATAAAAATAAGTTATAGAGATGTGATGACTTAGTTAAATAGATAAGTTATTAATTTTTTAAGTAGTAAATTGGATATTCAAATTTTGATGATAGTGAAAATTTGAATAATTATCTATGTAATACTTATATTATAGCAACTGTTTCTAATAATTAGATTAAGATATTTGTAATAGTGATTATATCAGTATGACTAACAGGTTATAAACATTTATGTAATTAGTTATATGAAAAAATACAAACTAACATCAAGTTATACAAATATTAAATAAGTTCTTATAGCTATATAAATCTGTTAAAATTAGAAAGCAAAAAGTTTATTTAAAAAGATCTAAATATAAAGATAGTATAGACCTTTAATAACACTACTATAAAGGCTAAATTACTAACAACAGATATCAATATTAAAGTACCTAAATAGTTAAGAATCTCTAAATTAAAAGTCTTAGAGGTATTATTAACCAGACCATTAGTATGAACTAGAAAAAAAGAATATTAGACTAAATTGATTTATTAATGAACTAATTATAGTTCTATATAGACTATTTGGATTAAAAGTTTGAAGAATATACAAAGATATACTAAAGTACTAGAAATATATTATAAAATAGATATTGAAGTCTAAATAAACTATACAAGAACATAGCAGTTATAAATAAAATTCTAATTGCAAATATTAATTGTCCTATAATAATACTTAGATCAGTAATAAAAATAGATACAAAAGTCTCTAAAAGGTTTATCTTAAAGATAAAATAGTTCTAAAGTTAAAATAATAATCTTAATATAATCTAGTAAGATTAACACAGATACAAACAAGTTCAGAAAATTTAAAATAGAACATCTAAATAGAAGTGTTTGATGTAATAATTGGTAAAAAACTTTTGAGTAGACTTCATAAATAGGTAATATAGAAAACTTATATATATAACTAATTGTATACTCTTTCTGTAATGGTTTACAAGAATTATATTACTAAAAAAGTTATTAATAAAAGTTAAAAGATCAAAAAAATCATCTTAATAAAAAAAAACAATTAAGTTATTTTTATTATTTGCATTTTATATTTTCAGATATTTATAAGTTTAAACTTTGGGTTTTTTAATTAATGTAATATATTAACTATAGTTAAATAATTAAATACCAAAATTAATTATATAAATATTTTTAACAATCATCTGAATCAAATTTTTTAAAAAACTAAACTACAGAAAAATAATATAATCAATATATTAAACTTTATAAAGCTTTTTTAAAATATTATATATGCATAGTTGAATATTAAAATAAAGTTAAAAATAAAGTTACAGTTTTGTATAATAATTTAAAAATGCTTTGAAACTATTAAAAAAATAGTAAATAAAAACTAAAGTTTTTTATTAAATAAACAATAAAGTTAAATATATTAGTTTTAACAACTATAAAACTTATAAGAAATACTTATAAAAGTTAAGAATTTACAGAAACTACAAAATTGATTTATTTATTAGTTTTATTGTTTTTTAAGAAAAATTTTATAAAAAAATAAATAATTTAGTTTATTTTTTTCTAAAGATCAACATATAAAATTACTAAAATAATTAACAATATTTATTTTTTAAATATATTTATTGATAATATAGATTAGAAATAATACAATAATATAAATATAATTATATATATGCTAAAAACTTGTTAAATATGTTAAATACTGCCTTCAAACTAACCAGTACTTTATACTGTTTTTCTATAATTAAGTCAAATTTTACTTTCTAATATGGTTTTTTGTTAAATAATTCAAATAAATAAAAAATAATAAAATTATTTTTATTTAGTATAGTATATAATTTTTAAAACCTGACATAAGTTTATAATTATAATCATCTGATATTTGTAAATTGTAAATTATATATATTTTTTCTTGTTTATTTTATTTTTTTTATTTCTTAGTTTGTATCTTTTATTATTACCTTTATATCTCTGTTTTGTTTTTATATATAAGTTTTTTTTTTGTCTTTTGCTTTCTTATAAGAAGATGTTATTAGATTAGAACTATCTTATTGAAGAATAATAATTAAACAAACAGTCTATTTTTAATTAAAATAATGTGACAAGTTGCACTTAGGTACCATCTAAGTAACTAAGTAATATTAAACTTGTATATTAGAAATTCTTTATAATTATGTATAGTCTTAAGAATCTTAATAAAGTACTAACATGACTGTTAAAATTAAAAAAAAAATTAAAATTAAAACCATTAATAATTTAAACTAAAAGTATTTATTTTTTTAGTGCTCAATTTAAATTAAAGAGAACTTTGAACAAAATGCCCAATCAAAAAAAAGAATAAGTTAATTATAAAAAATAAAATTAAGTCGACATTTATATTAGACCTTAAAATATTAAAAATCCATGATTATGATTGGCTTATTATTATGAGAAATTACTTTAACATTGATTTTCCCTACTAAAAAATTTTCACTCACGTAATGAACAAAATTCTTTAAAGTTTACTTATGTTAGGGTTAAAATTAGGTTTAAAATTGAAAATAGCTGGCATATAGTAAAATTCCCCAAGAAAATTTTTGTTAAAGCATGTAAGGGGATCTATTAAGCAAATTTTCGAGTTTAAAAGAGATTTTTGAAAACAAACAATCTTCCTGATCATGTTCCCTTACACAAAGACGTGATTTGTTATTAGATAATTTTATGTGATCAATTTATATCGAAATATTTACTGGTTTTTTGCATCGTTTTATCTATAACATAAAATTTTATTAAGATATCAACACTTTTTTCTTAAGTAAAAAGGGTTAGTTAAGCTAAAAAAACAAATTTGTTATTTCATCTCTTTTTGCAACATTTAGTCCATTTGAACTCAGTAGAAATATCTTAAACTGTTTCACAAAAATGTAATTCTTTATTAAACGTTAATATATTTATAGTTGGATATCATTTCTTTAATGGGTCTCCACAAGATACGACGGAATCCTTCTAGTTTATTAGGACCTGATTTAATTATCTTAATTCGTTCATCGAATACCCCCAAAGTAGAATATCCAACCACACGACTCTTTGCTATCGTACTCATGTATGACCTTAACTGTTCTAATCCATCATTTATTATTTCACGTATGGTTGTCTGTACTGTTTTTCTAAGATTCGTTGACCAATATACGTATCGTCTATTCAGTAAAGACTCTTCATCTTCTGTCTCAAGGATCTTAACTAACTTTTCTAACTCGTTAGCACCAAGAACTCCTATTTGATTTCCAACATCTCTTACCAGACCGATTAACGAAATAAATTTAAGTTCTAAACAAACATCGTTTCCCTCAGTTCCTCCCAGAACAAAAATATCAAGAAAACCAAAACGCCCGATTCTTTTCATTTTTTGCCATTTATTACAAGACAAAGCTCCGGCTCTCTATGCCTTGATGGGAGAAGAATCTCGACAATAGCTTGAAGCACTGCTTCATTGGCTGAAGACAATAACATCCGTGATCTTGTTAATAAGGTGGTCTTGAGAAGTTTGATAAAAGGAATGATATTACCTACAATGAGACTATTATATGCTGTACCACTAA